CCAAATATTTCCTTATAAGGAAATGGCTAATATTACTATTAGAATTACCATTGTTGTTATTTTTGAGATGATAAACTATCATTATTATTGTTGTAACCGAGGGAAGGTTACTGAATAGAATAATCACACAAAGGTTGGTAATGCATAATGATACTTAGGACAAGAACAACACATATAAGATTCGCCAGCAGCACGCAGAAGAAGTAGTCAAGTGCTAGAAGTGAGTCAAATAAATTCCACAATGAATCTCCAACTGCAGACCAACATACAGTATTTACTACATACCCATTATTGTCTGTACGTATGCTACAACAATTATACGGTTTAAAGCCCCAGAATTTCATCACAAGATTTCAACCAATGGTAGTACTTGCTACTCAGTCAATGAATACTGAATGTTTCCTTATAAGGAAACAGCAAATTTTACTATTACCATACATACAAGCTCATAAGGTAGGTTATTCACTGTTTCCCTTTGTCTATTTTGTTTTCAATATGATCTGTGAGTGACAAAATTTCCAATCCCTCTTTTTTCATTATATGTCTGAGAAATAACAACTTTCTTTTTCTGCATCAAAGTACAAGTGTCCTTTTTGTTTCCATTTTCTTTAAAACTTTGTCATTGCTCACATGTTCTGTCCATGGTATGCTTAGCATGATTCTGTAGAACCATATCGCTGTTGCTTTAAGTCTCGTCTTCATCTGTGAGGAAATTGTCCAACATATAAGAAGATTGATATTACATAGTTCAGCACTCTTTTCATTGTTTCTCTTGCCTCAAGTCTTCTCTTCATCTGTGAGGAAATTGTTCAGCATTCACTGCCATATAAGAGGATAGATATTACATAGCAGTTCAGCACTCTTTCATTGTTTATCTTGCCTCAAGTCTTCTCTTCATCTGTGAGGAAATTGTCCAGCATTCACTGCCATATAGGAGGATTGATATTACATAGCAGTTCAGCACTCTTTTCATTGTTTCTATTGCCTCAAGCCTTCTCTTCATCTGTGAGGAAATTGTCCAGCATTCACTGCCATATAGGAGGATTGATATTACATAGCAGTTCAGCACTCTTTTCATTGTTTCTATTGCCTCAAGTCTTCTCTTCATCTGTGAGGAAATTGTCCAGCATTCACTGCCATATAGGAGGATTGATATTACATAGCAGTTCAGCACTCTTTGTTTCTGACGAAATTTTCCTGTTTCTTAATACATTGTTTAGCATTTGGAAGATATCTTTTATTATTCTAATGCACTTTCAGATTTTGACATCACGTATTCTGTAATTTGTTAAAACTCATCCGAGATATTCAAATTTTTGCACATGTTTGATTCTGACATCTTCATTTTGTAGCTTACATTTTGAACTGTTCAATAATAAATCCTGGTAGGACTTCTAGTTCTCTCAGGATCACCTTGCTGTAAAGGGTGAATAAGTTTTGTTTTTTTTTCTTTTTACCATTCACCCTAAGCAAGATGATAATGCCACTAAGATGCAGTGGATGGGGCTACTGTTAGGGAAAAAGAATGAAATGACTTTAGCAGGGACCAGAAACCCAATCCTAAACAGGAAACAAGGGATAAAACTCAAAATACTGGGAAGGAGTGTAAACCAGACGATAGGTGGACCTATATAATACTATCAAGTTAAAAAAAACAAAACAAATTAATAAATACAATTTCAGAGTTCAAGCAAATATGTTTGAAGTATAGATTTGAAGTAAACTTTAGAATGAACTGGAAACCCAATCCTAAACAAGGGATAGACTTCCTGTTCAAAATCAAGGGAGGAGTGTGAACTGGATGATAGATGAACCTATCTACACCTATTATTATAATATTTCTTATGTTGTTAAGATTGTGCCCATTGATAATATATCTTAGTGGGACTTCTAGTTCACTTAGGGTTACCTTGATGTAAACCTTAAATACATTTTATACCCCTTTGATTTTTGTGGACTTACTGTTATGGGACCTTACCCATAATAACATAATGGACTATTCCATACATAATAAATACTGCGCCTCAAGAGGAAGCAGGGAGTTCAGCTGGAAGTTGGGCGACCGGCTGATCGATTGAACTCTCTGCCTTCGGGCGGGGAAGAACCCGAACAAGGTTACGCCGAAGGGCGGAGTCTCTTTCGGGGAGGTAAACCGACCATGAGCCCATTTATATGGGTTCAAAGGGCATATTTTTGGCCAAGCTCACGATCTTGGAGATCCCACGTTAAACTGGCCTTGTGCCACATGATGCTCTCGTGGGGGGCTGACTAGATATCGTTCAGTTCGAAGTCGGATGACTGGCTGACCAGCTGATCGGTTGAACTCTCTGCCTTTGGGTGGGGAGGAACCCGGATGAGGCTACGCCGAAGGGCAGAGTCTCTTTCTGGGAGGTAAACGGACCCTGAATCCATTTATACGGGTTCAAAGGGCATATTTTTGGTCGAGCCCACAGGCTCGGAGATCCCACGTTAAACCGGCCTTGTGCCACATGATGCCCTCGTGGGGGTGGTGACTAAATACCGTTCCGTCTGAAGTCTGGAGTGAAGTCCGTCAGGAGTCTGCGAGTTAGTCAGAGGCAGTCCGAAACAGAGTTGCGTTCAGACAATTACTACCAAATCTGATTGTTCGTACTAACACTTTCTACTTCTCTGTATATATTCCTGTTTGTAATATATCTGTGTTATTCCATATCCGTGTTCGAGTTCTTCTTTATTGGTTCTACCTTGGACTATCACCGTGGTACAAGGAACCAGACCATAACACTTACACAATTCTTTTTCAGCAAACTTGGAACTTTGTGCCTGCAAAAAAAAAAAAATGGACTGTCAAAAGGATAGTTTTTCCCTTGACACCACTATTATTTTAACTACCTTCACTCCTTAGCAAAGTTTATCCATTTAAAAACTGATGATTAGAATTGTAATAAAACCTAAACATATGAAGTGAATTATAGAGGAACATCCAAAGGTCTTGTCACCCACCAAGTAATGAGAACAATAGAAGAACAAGTAATACAGTAATACAAAGTCATGTCATACATCTTCCATGCTCTTGCCAGAAAGCACACGATTATGTGTCCGTACACTTGCAAGCAGCCTCTCTTCCAAACTGTAGGAGCTTGTGTCAACCATTTGAAATAGAAAATTATATTATGTAGGGATGACATGACTTTCGGACCACCATGTACATTTTATTTGTTCTTGAGAATTTACAACACAAATAGTAAGCACTAGTTATTTATTAAACTGCTTATTTACACTATTTATTTATTATATTATTTATTGGAATGGTTGGCAAAACATCGGCTAATTACCAACTGATTTGAACTTTATAAAATGGTAAATAATGATTTTCTTAGAGCTGATTCACATATTTTAATAATTTAGTAAATGTTTATAAATTTATGATTAAGAAATTGTTTTCATATTTATTCTTTTACTAGCTCAAAAGCCACCCCTTCAGGTGGCATTTAATTTAGTGCCTGTGGAGGGCTTTCGATTGGGCCTTTGGCTTGTTCAGTAGTTTAAGAATCTGTAAGTCTTTGCATATTCTCAGCATCGGAAGTTATTTGATTTGGGTTTTCATTTGCACGCGACTTTCTTTTCCTCACTGCAAACTTGGCTCTTTTGATTGCAATCTGGTCTTCTGTTGGCGGAGATTTCTTTTTGAGAGGCATAGTGCTGCCGTATGTGTTAGGTAACAATAAACTCTAGAACTCAAAATTAACCACTGCATTTAAATATTGCATTAATATTTAAGCTTACCTTTTAAAATGATAATTCTTCTGCTGCCACTTAATTTAAGGTCAATTTGATGTGCGTAGGTCCTTACTTTTCATACAAACAATTATTTTTATTTCATGCATGGCATTCGCTGGATTTCACAATTAATCTTGATTATTCCTGAATTTATTTCCAATTTTAAAAATTGTTATCATACAAAATAATCTGTTGCACAAAATCACATAAAAGAATTGCCAAAAACAACTGCAGTAATGAAAATCGGGAATCTAAAATTTCTGTAACATGAGCTATTGGAATTTAGAGAGTTGTGTCCCTTTAATTGAAAAAGTGTGACATAGTGACACACTGATATTTGAATTTATTATATAGATAAATTAGTAAATGATAAATATTGCATTGCCTTAGTTTTAATTGTAATAGTTTCTAGAATGTTGTAAATATAAAATTATTCTTGTAAATAAACAATGTAATAAATAAATAGTTTTTATTATTTTTGTTGTAAATTCTCAAGAACAAAAAAATGTATAAATTCCCTTTCATATGTTTAGGTTTTATTACAATTCTAATCATTGCCTTTTAAATGGATAAACATTGCCAAGGAGTGAAGGTAGTTAAATTAATAGTGGTGTCAATGAAAAAAAGCTTCCTTTTGACACTCTGTTTTTTTGTGGGCACAAAGGTCCATGTTTGCCTCATTTTCTTTCCATATGCAGGCAGGTTGCTCCCAGGAAAGATTCTAGATTGTTCTGATGTCTTCCATTTGAAATCTTTGAAACATTTCAGGGACTGACCATGGATAATTGAAAGTACACAAAATGAAAATACAAATCATAAAAAGGAGAAGGGCAATGTATATTGAATAATTATTAATCTACACAAAATATTCTTTGATATGTCATGTCCTTTCAAGACATGGGCGATCATGGCTCTCCACAACTTCCTGTTTATTGCAGCTCTAAGGAACATTTGACTCTTTACCAATCCCTTTTGTCCTCACTCTGTTATTAATTAACACTCTTTCTCTCTTTAACTGCTTTCAGTATGTCTTGTGGGTATTTAACTTTCTAAGCCGTCTTTCTGCAGATCTGATCAGAATTTGAATTTGAAATGCCTATTAAACACATTCTGTATCATAAACTACTACACGACTTGAAAATCTATGGATTGAAAGATTTGAACACACTGAGAGATAAGTTAGTGGCTTTGTTGCCTTTCTTGAAGTGAAATGATTAAAAAAAGAAGACAAATGAATAGACTGATGATAGATATTATCAGATAGAGATAGATAGATAGATAGATAGATAGATATGAACAGACTGAGATAGAGAGATAGATACTTAACAGACTTAGATAGATAGATAGATAGATAGATAGGTAGGTAGATAATGAATAGACTGAGATAGATAGATAGATAGATAGATAGATAGATATGAACAGACTGAGATAGAGAGATATGATCAGACTGAGAGAGGTAGATAGATACTTAACAGACTTAGATAGATAGATAGATAGATAGATAGATAGATAGGAACAGACTGGGATAGGTAGATAGATAGATAGATAGATAGATAGATAGATATACATAGAGTGAATTAGAAAGCTTTTGATAGATAGATCAAAAGAAATAGAGAGATTTTAACAGACTAAGATAGACAGATAGATACGAAGAGACTGAGATAGATAGACACATAAATAGATCAATATAAATAGACTGATACAGAGGAATTTCAACAGGGATAGATAGAAAAATACAAAGAGACTGAATTGATAGATAAATAGATATATTTTCATTCATAACGGATTCGGAGGTTTTTGTATATTATTTGAATTGTTTGCGACTATGGATTTCTCGCCAATTAAATCATTAACCTTTGCATTTGTTTTTGTGTGAATAATTCATGAATTTGTAAATTGATTGCACGTTTATCGAAATTAAAATAACTGATCCAAGTGCGACTTTTGGATAATAAGTGCGACATTACTGTAATTATTGAACAATATAGTTCATGCCACTTTGACAGAAAATTTACCAGTAAAAAATTCGTTTATCACCTTATTTGTACATGAATGCACAACTGTAAAAAATTTAAAATCAAACTCAGCGTTGCTATTGCACGCTCCAAAAACAATAACTCATTTCCAATAGCATTTTCGGATACAACAATACATATATTTTCGTTGTCCTCTTATTACTAAGAGAAAAAACAAGAACAACATCTATTCCATACCTGAAGATGTCTGTAGGAACAGATGAAAGCTTGTAGTAAAAATAAGAACTAATACGGCAGAAATTTATAGAAACAAGGATCTTTTCATTCATAACGGATTCGGAGGTTTTTGTATATTATTTGAATTGTTTGCGACGATGGATTTCTCGCCAATTAAATCATTAACCTTTGCATTTGTTTTTGTGTGAATAATTCATGAATTTGTAAATAGATATAAATAGACTCAGATAGATAGACAGATAGATAAATAGATATAAATAGACTGAAATAGATAGATAGAAATCAATTGAAATAGAGAGATTTCAACAGAGATAGATAGATTCAAAGAGACTAGGATAGATATAAATAGACTGAAATAGAGAGATTTAAACAGATAAATACATAGACAGAAATAGACTGAAATAGAGAAATAGATGCAAAGAGACTGAGATAGATCGATAGATAGATAGATAGATAGATAGATAGATAGATAGATACAAAGAGACAAGATAGATAGATAGCAACAAAGATACCAAGATAGTAGATACAAAGAAGTCAAGATAGATAGATAGATAGATAGATAGATAGATAGATAGATAGATACAAAGAAATCAAGACAAATAGATACAAAGAGACCAAGATAGATAGATAGATACAAAGAGACCAAGATAGATAGATAGCTACAAAGAAACCAAGATAGATAGATAGATACAAAGAAGTCAAGATAGATAGATAGATGCACAAAGAGATCGAGATAGATAGATAGATAGATAGATAGATAAAAAGAGACCAAGATAGATACAAAGAGACCAAGACAGATAGATACAAAGAAGTCAAGATAGATAGATAGATAGATAGATAGATAGATAGATAGATACAAAGAAACCAAGATAGATAGATACAAAGAAGTCAAGATAGATAGATAGATAGATAGATAGATAGATACAAAGAAACCAAGATAGATAGATACAAAGAAGTCAAGATAGATAGATAGATAGATAGATAGATAGATAGATAGATAGATACAAAGAAACCAAGATAGATAGATACAAAGAAGTCAAGATAGATAGATAGATAGATAGATAGATAGATAGATAGATAGATAGATAGATGGATACAAAGAAACCAAGATAGATAGATACAAAGAAGTCAAGATAGATAGATAGATAGATAGATAGATAGATAGATAGATAGATAGATACAAAGAAACCAAGATAGATAGATACAAAGAAGTCAAGATAGATAGATAGATAGATAGATAGATAGATACAAAGAAACCAAGATAGATAGATACAAAGAAGTCAAGATAGATAGATAGATAGATAGATAGATAGATAGATAGATACAAAGAAACCAAGATAGATAGATACAAAGAAGTCAAGATAGATAGATAGATAGATAGATAGATAGATAGATAGATACAAAGAAACCAAGATAGATAGATACAAAGAAGTCAAGATAGATAGATAGATAGATAGATAGATAGATAGATAGATAGATAGATAGATACAAAGAAACCAAGATAGATAGATACAAAGAAGTCAAGATAGATAGATAGATAGATAGATAGATAGATAGATAGAAGATACAAAGAAACCAAGATAGATAGATACAAAGAAGTCAAGATAGATAGATAGATAGATAGATAGATAGATACAAAGAAACCAAGATAGATAGATAGATAGAAGATAAGATAGATAGATAGATAGATAGATAGATAGATAGATAGATAGATAGATAGATAGATAGATACAACGAAACCAAGATAGATAGATACAAAGAAGTCAAGATAGATAGATAGATAGATAGATAGATAGATAGATACAAAGAAACCAAGATAGATAGATACAAAGAAGTCAAGATAGATAGATAGATAGATAGATAGATAGATAGATAGATACAAAGAAACCAAGATAGATAGATACAAAGAAGTCAAGATAGATAGATAGATACAAAGAACCAAGATAGATAGATAGATACAAAAAGACCAAGGTAGATAGAAAGATACAAAGAGACCAAGATAGATAGAAAGATAGATTATTGGAATAAAAAAAAAAATTTGTCCCAAAATCGATTTATTAGATTAAATTTTCTGCTCGGGTGAAGGGACTCAATGTTAATTTCTACAGTATTAATCAAGTCTTATACACATGTTAAACTTTTGGTAAATTAATTTATTTTAAATTATTTTTTTGCTCCTTTACACAGGCAGGATGAATCACTTGTAAAATTTATAACACATCATGAGTCTAAACAAAACTGACAAATGTGTATGGAAAAGAACCATTTATTGTAGCCATTTTGGAAACTGGAATTCACAGCAACCTCGTAAACTGAATTTTCTTGAAAAGAAATCTGAAAGCACCAATCAGCGTCTCGCCTGTGGTTTTACATCAACCCACATGATTGCTGAAGTGGAAGGACTGTCTTTTAAAGATGTTTCACTCCACTCTTCTCACTCCGAGGCAGGTGATGATAAAGGCGGGGGGAGAAGAAAATCAAAATGACATCAAGGAATGCTAGACCAATCTTATTTAAAAAGAAAAATAAAGATTTATATTGCACCATTCAAACTAAAAATTGAATAAAAAAAAAAGGAAATAAATTAATTTATCTGCTGACTTCACAGAATTTGAAGGTTGTGCAACAGTTAAGAGAGCAGAAAATACGATCAACAAACAGAGTTCAAATAGTGGCATCCTTTATAGCATTCGCTTTCACACAAGTGACCTTGGGAATTGCATGAGACCATCTTCTCTTCTCCCAGCTACAGTTCAGATAGTTACACTGGGTTCTCTAGCCTTGGTAGTATCCGTTCTAAAAAAAAAGGCTAACACTGAATTCAAAACTCTGAAGAAATCTATAGAATAGCTATGCACAGATGAAAAGAAAAAGGATGTATACAGAGGCATTATCACTTACGTGCTGAAGAGACCATTCTACTATTTTTCTAAAGAAGTCATGAGAATTCATAGATAATAAATAAAAAGGATGTGTGGAGAGCCATGATCATCTACATTCTTAAGGGACCACTCTACTATTGTTCCAAAGAAGTCATGGCAATTCACACATAATAAAGGAAAATAGATATGTGGAGAACCATGATCACCTGCTCTGAAGGGACCAGTCTACTATCTTTCCAAAGAAGACATAGCAATTCCCAGATAATAAAGGAAAAGGATATGTGGAGAGCCATGACTGCTTATTTCCTAAAGAAATAAACATTGCTGAAGTAGACAAAAATGCACACAGTAATAGCAGTGTCAAGCGAATAACTGTCCATTTGACACATTGTTTTTTTGTCAGCAGGAAGGTTAAACTTTGTCATATTTTCTTTATTCTTCCAAATTGCTGTTGTTCCTAGATATACTCTAACCCATGGTGGTAGCACCTCTTAGGGTCCCGGTTATGGGCAAATAGTTAACCCCTAAACTGGAGCCAAAATACTATGAAAGTGTAAAAATAGGTTTTTACAGTAAACATATCAGCAATACATTTTCGAAATAAAACAATTAATACCGGTAATATATTTTTGAACAATTATTACCAGCAATATATTTATTAAAAATAAAAATATTACCAGCAATACATTTTTGGAAAAAAATATTACCAGCAATACATTTGACTCTTAAGAAAAAACCCTCTTTACAAATATATGTCACTGAAACCTGATCTACAAACTGATTTCTTACAAAGAATACATATTCTATTCATACGAACCTATCCTAAAAATCTTGTTAGCATTAAATAACTCATTGAGGTTGATATGCCATAAATAAAACAAAATAAACCAAACAAATGTTCAGTCACTCCCTTCCCATATATATATATATATATATATATTGATTTAAAGAAAAATGAATTTCTTTTGTATGACCATTTTTTTTTTTTTTTTTTTTTTTTTTGCAGGACCTAGGTACCTTTCAGCCAACGCTTCATCAGGGTCTATTAGAAAATGAGTCATGCTTAAAACGTTTCACAATGGACTCGTTTTCAATTATATGCATAAAATAGGTCCAAATATCATCTGTCTATTTTGGAAGCCATCTGCCTCAAATTATTTAAACCATCGCTTTCTAAACAAAAAGGAGAATTTTCATGATCGCTAAATTTATTTTTTGATATATGAGCAACTTATTTTCCTTTCTTACTGCTCAGGTTGGTTCATTATTATTAATTCATTATTTACGCATTTATTTTAATCGTAAATTTATTTTAATTTTACGTATATATATCTTCGTAAAATTTTAGACATGTTCCAACCATACCATTTTGGCGTTCTTTTCATTTTCATTGTTTGTTTAAAATCATTTGCCAACGAAAGACCCTGATGAAGCGTTGGCGAAAAGGTACCTAGGTCCTGCAAAAAAAAAAAAA